CAGGCCACCCCCCGACCGGGCCGGAGTCTGGTGGCTGAGCAGCAGCAGTTTGACTTCAGGTGGCTCCACATGGGGCCGAGTCGGCCTCGCCTATGGCCACATGACCCTGGCAGTTCATTGGGCAAGTGAGCCCGAGTCTCAGAATCGTCTACAAAAGAGGTGATACACAGACCCAAACACGCTCAGTGACCGCCAGAAAATAAGTGCCCAGTTACAGAACAGGACGCGAAGGTGGCCTCAGAGCTGCCTGTGGGCCCAGCCTGCACCCCGCAAACAAGGGCTACACTCAGGAGCAGGCAGCCCCTTGCACCTGCCCCATCATCCCAGTTTAGCCTGCTCCAGGACTGTCTCCCCCATTCCTAACCACCACTGGGGCCTGGCTGGGCCTCCTCCCTAAGCCAAGCATCTCCAAGGAATGGCCAGCACCTGCCTGCCCTGACACCTGAACTCGGCCCGAGGGGGAGCTGAGCAAGCCTTTATCTGACTGGGAATCTAATGACGTCATTTTGATGGATATCTAATCTCCATGGGGTTTCTTTTTCCTTTCCTTTTTGTTTTTTAATTATTTTTTGATGATTTATTTTTAATTTTATTTATTCATTCATTCATTTTAATTTGACCAGAGAGACACAGAGAGAATGAGAGACAGAAAGTGAGAAAGCAAGCCACCAGGTCTGGGACTCAAACCGTGGTCGACCATGTGGGAGTGTCCAGCGCCTTAACCACCACGCCACCTGCTGGTCCCTCTGTTTTCTTTTTTAAATAATTTTATTGGGCCAGCAGATGGTGTAGTAGTTAGGTCACTGAACTCCCACATGGCCAACCATGGTTCAAGTCCTGAACCTGGTGGCTTGAAACTCACACTGGGTGCATGTGTGCCCGTGCTTGCCCTAGATCCAGGAGGAGAAAGAAGGGACTGGAGCATGGCCAATCTCCCTGGAGGGTGATTTCTCATTTTCTGGTGAGCACAGCATCCTAAGGCAAAAACCTCTTTTTAAATAAAAGAATCTTTTTAAATATGACTTGAGAGAGACAGAGGAAGTGAGAAAGCAAGCTGTCAGGTACAAGACTTGAACCATGGTCGGCCATGTGGGAGTCCAGCGTCTTAACCCCCACACCATCGGCTGGCCCCCAGTTTTTTTGCTTCTAGGTGTGCTGTCACTCATCTGTGTGTCACTCAGCTGTGAAGCACAGCATTGTGGGAGTGAGTGGAAGAGGGGAGCGCCTGGGGGCATCACACCCAACACCTCCACACAGGGCCTGGAGGGAAAGTTTCAACAGGAACTTTCCTCTGGAGAGATCCTTCCAGGTTCCCCTCCTTTCTGCAAATGCGGGGAGTGGCTCCAGGGGAATGGAGCACGCTGTGGCATCTGCCACCCTTCCTCCGCCCCTGGGTAGACAGCAGTGTGGCGAGCTGGCCGGTGACTGTGTCCTGGTTTGCAGTGGCCGCTGGGTAGCGGAGGCCCCCCCAAGTCCGTCAGTACCTGAGGCCCACGCAGCAGCACGCAGACCTCAGGCCCATCCCCTTCCTCCACAAAGCTAAGCAGTGCTCTCCAACGTCCAGGATGAACGCAGGCTGTACTAACACGCGTCTCCAGGTTACACTGACCTGAAGGGAGACGGACAGGCACACGGGCAATGGAGGGAGGTCTGGAGCTGGTACACCGGGACACCCAACTGACAGACATCGACGGCCAGCAGCTCTCCGAGCGTGAGGGAGTGTGACCGGCTGCACACTGCAAGCTTTGCTCTAAGCAGCCCTGCACGGGCACTGCCCGGAGCTGGGGCCCAGGCTGGAGCCGCACGCCAGCTGGGCCTACAAGGGAAGCGGCTGGGACGAGCCCATGCACTTCACCCCTTCTCCGTGGCAGAGACAGGTGCTGAGCAAAATGAAGCATTCAACTAGTGTTTTGACACATTGGCTGTTTATTTTAGCAACTGCCTCCTTACAGCGGCCGACTTCCTGTCTGGCCGAGGACGATCTGAAAGCAACACCGGCTGCCAGCAAGGCAAGACAGCCAGGACCCGCCAGCGGGCACGGGGCACGGGCTACGGCTTACTGGACTCGGGCGGCACATCTTTGGTGTCAGTGTGACTTGCAGTAGATTCTCTTCATGATCAGGAACATAAAACACACATGATGAGCCCAGTGAGAGCGCCGTGCAGCCGCCCGGTGACACATGGCTCCCAAGGATGAGGAAAGCTAAGTCCGGTGTCTCGAAGACTCTTCACGGCAGCAGAATCATCTGGTGCAAGGACCTGGAGCAAATTGAAGTCACTCGCGGTCGAACTGGTCCCTACAATGACCGCAACTGCCCATACCAAAGGGTCACAGCGACCAGGGATCAGTTCTGAACCCTGCACCGCCACATGATGGTCGCTTGAGCAGAGGTCTTCACAAAAGCTATAAAAACCGAAAAGCGTGACAAGGAAATCTCCTTTCAAAGAACGAGGGATACTTTTTACAGGGAATGGTGACATTTAATTTTCAAAAATGAGATGAAAATGTAAGTAGCTGATCCCGGTGAAGGGCATCTCTGGGTGCTTATCCTAACTCTTCTTCAAGATCCTACGAGCACTCTTAACATTATGACGCAAAAAAGCAATCCTAGAACCTCCTTGGTTAAAAGGAGGATTCCAATGAACCCCACTGACAGCACCCATAGCCAACAGGTGCCAGCCTGCAGTGGGACTCTGACAACCCTTTGACCACACTAGCCAAGGGTTCTAGAACATTCTGCATAGGAAAAGACTTATCAAGGGCATTGAGTGATTGGGTGGTCGAGACAAAGTGAAGATTTGTTCAGGGATATGTTTTCATCGTCTTTGAGATACTTAAGGCAAATTCCTCCACCGTACTTTTAGCAGAATCATCTGGTGCAAGCACTGGAACAGTTAGAAGGGACAATTTCCCCGCAAAGGTACAAAATCAACATCTCTGAAAGAGAACAACAGATTACCATGGAGTCCAAAAGAGGGAGTCTAAAGGGATTATTTGGTGCCAGGTTACCACAAAGTAGTTTGCTAGTCGTAGTGGGAACATGCTGTCAAGGCACTTCAGGATTCTGGAAAATCCTCGTTTGCATCAAAGGCAGCTGTAAAACTGATCCTCCAGAAAGTACTTACAGAAATATAAACGCCCTTGAGAGGAGGAAAACACTCTGTGCGCACAGACTTTAACGACTCGTCCAGGCAACAGAGAACACCTGTGTGCCGGTAACACCCATCCTGATAACACCAGCCAGGGAGACTGGCAGGTGCCCAGGACACACCTCTAATTCTGTGCAGGTCTCATCCACTAGCCCAGAGCAGGTGACATTTAAGATACCAGTGGCTGCCAGCTAACTTCCTGACAAACTATAAATTCCCATGCCCTGGGGCTCACCGGGTTCCTGCTCTCATCCGCTGCCAAGTAGCACCAGGCACGTCTGACACGTCTGTCCGTACCATGGCCTGGAACGAGGAGCACCGCCACGAGCTACCTTCAGACGCTCTTGCTTAGTTGTAGTGGAACCTGACAGTGTAACTGATCTTCGCTGTAACTGTGGGTGTTTCCTTGTTTGTTTAAAAAAGATCTATTAACTCCATTTAAATGTTCCCATCCTTACTAATTACTAAGAATTTTAAGTTTACATTTTACAAGCAATACACCCCCACCAAACCTGAAGGTACTAAATAGCTGGTGTTTTATCCCTTCTTAAATGCAGCCACAAAGGCTTTTTGGTCATTAGTTTTTACAATTTTAATAATTCGAAAATAAGATTTTCCCCTCAAAATGCAAAGTGTGTGTGTGTGGGATAGCTGTTTCTCAAACAAAAATGTTTACAAAAGAACAGACCATCAATAAACAGAACAAAGTCCCCACCACTCAGCTGGGTGGTCCCAAGGAGGCTTTGTTAGTGCAAAAACTCGTTTTATTTAGCATAAAAAAAAAATCACTGCACTGTGCTGAACTCTGGCCTGGTTCCTATTTAACCAAACATTTCCCCCTTTCTCATAATCTTTCCTATCATATAAGGTTATGTCTATTTGTAGATCTGCAAATATCTGCATTTAATCCTTGCACAATCCTTTAAAAAATTAACTACTGAAGTTGTCTCTATTTTGTTTTTTCAAGGAACACACACACAAAACAAAAAGGACAAACAAAACAAACCACACCACATCATACGGACAACGACCCGAATGGAAAAGCTCATGTGCTGTAATATTTGTTTTGCAACAGTAAAAGCAGCAGAGGTCGTGGATATAATTTGCTTAAATCATAAATACTGAGATTGAAATATGCATGTATAAATCACATTCAGATCAATGAACTGAAAGCGCTCTATAAATACATAGTCGTATATATAAAGTGCAAAACAAGTGATCTCAGCTGTGCGCGCTGGCACTTCAGTACTCCCATTCATCGGATTTCAAGTCCAGATAGCTGAGAATATTCTGGGCGAGCTTCACGGCCTGCTTCCTGGCAGCCTTGCACTTCTCCTCCCCCTGCGGGTCCACGGCATCGAGGGCCAGCAGCTGCTTGGTCAGCAGCTCTTCCAGCCGGATGTAGTTCTTATCAGTTCGATTTCCGTCAAATGAAAGAACTTCTCCCTGGACCTCTGACAAGTTTCCCAGGACACTCCAGACTGCTCTGTGGGAGGGGTGCTCCTCGCAGGTGAGCGCCTTTCTCTTCTCCAGGGCTTCCTTCAAGTCAATGTAAGTGATCAGGGTCTGCACTTCAATCACGGCTCTTCTCCGGGCTTCCCGGATGCAGGGGTTTTTTTCTAGACTCACCTCATCCAGCTGTCCGATCAAACCCTGCAATTCTGTTTTGGAGCTCAGGTACAATTCCGGAGGACTTTGTGCTTGGAGAAGTTCGTTTTTTATTTCTCTCATTCTCTTGAGGACCTTCTCTATTTTTAAAATGGAATGATTCTGTCCCAGGTCAAACGCATAAGTAGTGTCTGCTTCCTCTTCTAAATCCAAATACTTCAATAATTTGTTGATGTCTTCGACTACTTCCCTCCGATAATTTCTGATTTCTGTAC